CTGAGTTTAGCTGGTGTACCCATTTCATCATCCTAGTTAAAATTAAGGGAGGAATTCAAAAACAAATTAAAAAAATTTACAATTTCAAACTTATTTTAAACTCTTTTATTTTCAAAATATTGTATTTTTAATTTAACATTTTTATATACGCTAGTCAATGTTGAACGTGCAACAACATTATTATGAAATGCTTTATAAATGCTGTAACAGTAATATTTGAATATACGTGAATGTAAATTAATTTAAAATTAATACAAATTAGCGACAGTGAATGTTATGTCATTTATATAATTTTCAATTAAGTAAAACTGAATATTAATTAGCATATATGAACGTGAATAATGAAATCCATTCTTAAATGTGAAATTCTAATTAACTTAAAATTAGAATTAATGATACTGAAATGCATAAATGAAAATGAATATTAATTAAATGAATGTGAATGTTAATGTTAATTAATTGAAAATTAATAATAGGGAATTCATACATTAATGAAAGCACATAAATTAAATGAATATGTTAAATGTAAATATACATTGATGGTAACTAAATAATTAAATAAAATACTTATTGAAAAACAAAAAGTAAGGTATTATTGAAATAATTGAATTATAGTAGAACTAGAATTGTTTAAAAAATCATTCTCACTTCATTTAATGTTTAATATATTATAAATTTTCTAGCACAATGTATTATATTGTTACACGACTTATTTCTTCAACCACTGCTGCTGCCACACCTAATGACAAATTGTCTTTTTTTGTAACAATCAATCATTATGTCGCCGTTGTAACTACTTGTAATACACCTTGTTACTCTCATTGCTCCTATCATTTTTCCAATCACTAGTAATATACATTGTTATTGTCATCACTAGTGTCATGCCACACCTACGACTTGCAGAATGGAATGCCCAGATGGGACAATCATCTCTCATATGATGGAGGTCTTGGGTTCGAATCATGGGGTCGCGTAGAAAGCCATGAGGGGGTAAGTGGGCAGAAGCGCACCCCAGAGCGGACAATACGTAAGATAACGGCTCCGGTGAAAGGATGGGTCGTTACATCTTAATATGCATTATTTTTTTACTTTCATTAGTAAGGGAATAAATTTAATTAACGGTGATGTTTAGCATATCATTTCTCACAAATTTAAGGTTTGGAGTCTTAATTACAAGGAATTAATGGTACTTAACACACATGAGTCACTTATACAATTTACTCCATTTAGACTTGAACTAAGTATGTGGGAAAGTTTACTGATCGTTGATTATGCTTGTACATGCTATCAACTACATCCTTGAATTATTATCTATTGTTATTATAGTTACCTTCGTCATTTGTGACAAAAATGAGAAAAGATAGATGATGATAGAGCATTTTAATTTTGGAAAGTTTGTAGTAAATGGGAGATGATTTTATTTTATTTTATTTTTTCAATGCTTAGCTTTTTTGTGTTTTGATATTTTGTGATTTAATGTTTTAGTTGATGTTTTTATTAACATTAGTATTGTTTCTCAATCTAACTAGCATATGATAATATGTTTCAATTTTCACGTGCTTTAACACGTGGTATTTGAGTTATTGATTTAAAGAAATAAGTTTCAAGAAATGCAAAAGACAGATATTCAGTTTGAGTTTGGATAGATTAGTTTTGTTTTTATATCCTTGACTTGTATTGTATACTTTTGTCACAAAATACCAAAGGAGGAGATTGTTAGGTTTTTAGTTGTATTGTTAATTCTTTAGATAAAATGATTATTGTAAAAGGATATGATTGTTACAAAAGAGTTGTAAAAGTGTACGAGTCTTTTGAAGAGTAGTATAGCCCTTAAACGAGTCCAAAATGTCCAAGAAGATCACATATGATCAAGGAAATGCAATTAGAAGTCTAAAGAGATTTAAAGAGCCGTACAAGTTATGTTCTAAATTCTCATTCACAATTTACAACGCATTTTCCAAATATAAAACATTAGAATTTGGACAAGTCTACATCTAGAAGAATTGTAGCACTTTGAGTTATATTTCTAACGCATTTTGAATCACCTCGATCGGATATCGAAAGAGAAAATTATGATAAAAATACTGAAGATTGCTCAGTTATTACTCGCCTGTCTCTGGCTTGGTGCTCGAGCGATGGGTCGACATTAAGAAATCCGTTTTGCTTCAAACACTTAGTTTTTCAATCCCTTTATATTCCAAACACTTTTCCCTATATATATCTTACCCTATAAACGTCCAAAAGTATGTTGAATCATATTTATTTTATATAGATCAATTTTTTGATAATCCAAAACATTCATTGATTCCAAGATTCAATCACCACATATTACTTGATCTATAAATTCTTAGAACGATCCTAAAATTATTTCTTTTTTGCAATAGGAACGACACTGAACTCATTCTATGTTATTGTGTTTATTCTTTTTTCACATTACATACAAACTACTTTTAATTCTTTTTACTTTTCTGGAACAACCCAAATGTCGTATAGTTATACATTGTCATTCCAATACGAAATTTGTAACACTTTTAACAACGATATTGAAATCGTTCATGAGATACAAAACGATATATATATGTTGTTTCAGTAAAAAAAAAATTTGTACTGCTGTACTAATTTATATAACGACATTGAAGTCGTTCTCAACAAATAAAACGATATTGAAGTCGTTATCCCAAATAAAGTACACGACACGCGCGTAAAAAAATAAAGAAATTGATGTCGTTGTGATAGAAATAACAACATTGGACATGTTATGATACAAAATCTCGTTCCAATACAAATTTGCCGACATTGAAGTCATTTTAGTTTGAAACATAACTACAACGATATTGATGTCGTTTCTTTTCATACGTAACGACAATGATGTCTTTTTGTATTAAACCCATGAAATAACAAAACAATATCAATATCATTCCAGTATAAATTTATCGTTATTGAAGTCATTTTAGTCCAAAATATAACTAAAACGAGTTTGATATCTTTTCTTTTTATACTTAACGATAGTTATATCGTTCTAAATGAAATAGCCAAAATAACATAACGACATTAAAATCATTCCTATACAAATTTGTTGACATTGGATTCGTTTAAATTCGAAACATAACAACATTAAATTCGTTCAGAATGAAATAGCTGAAATAACATAATGACATTAAAATCGTTCCAGTACAATGTTTGGCGTAACTATTTCAATGTCATTTTTTTCTAGAACGACTTCAATGACGTTATATAAATCAATATAACAATACAATTTTCGTGCTGGAGTGACATACATATCGTTTTGTATCTCAAGAACGATTTCAATGTCGTTATGTGAAGCATTACAATATTTATAATGGAATGACACCAAACTCATTTTGTGTTTTGGAAACGATTTGAATGTCGTTATGTGAAACATTGCAATTTTCCTTTTAGAATGACATCAATATCATTTTGTTTGTCGGAACAGCTTCTATGTCATTGTGTGAAACAGTAGTTATATTTTGTCATAACGACTTAAATATTGTTTTGTTTTTTCGAAACAATTTTAGTATCTTGAACATATATGATATAAAATTGAAAGTTTCAATATCCTGAAAGTATCAAATTCAAAATGCACTAGCTAGATATTATCAAATCATCAAGTAGTCGAAACAAAATATTTCAACTAATTAACAGAATTACATAAATGAAATAGCCAAAAACAATCTAAAGTTTGAAGTCCCATGCCAACAACTCTTTCTTCATTTACAATATCGTACTATTTCTCCACAGCACTGCTAAATACAAAGTAATCAATAATTAGCAAAGACGTAATCAACCTCAATTTGAATCAAAACTGCACTTTTAGTTACAAATGAACAAATGACTTATAAAATGTATCCCACATAGAGAATGTTCTATTATTTTTCTTCTTAACGATGGCTCCTGAAAAAAATCGAGCATAGTTGTGGAGTATTACCTCATCAATCCACGTTATAAGTTTAATCACTCGCTAAAATCTCAAGTAGTCAACAATTTAGGTAAAGGTTCAGTACTTCTTTTCATTATGAATGATGCCTTGCACACTTCTTTCCCATATACTAACACTCATGTACAGAGCAAAGAGAAACCGAAATATTGCTGCTAAAGCAACATAATAGGCACTCCCTCATTTCCTCATTTACACTATCGAGAGCTTATATACATCTATTCCTCATTTCCAAAGCTTTCGTCCCATTTGCCTGTAACAAAATAAAAATAAATAAATGTTCTACATAGCTTAGAATGAAGTGAAGGACTTCTATTTAGTAACAACATAAATAGTATTGGTCATGCCAACTTACCTTCACAAGGAGAACATGTGAAAATAGAACAGAGCTCTATTTCATTACAAATGCAACACGGATGAAGTACACTAATAATTTCAATCCCATATCTCACGGTCTAGGTCATTGTCACCATTAATTCCCTAACGTCCACAAAAATGCTAAATGCTTGAGAATTTTCCTTTTGTTACAGAATAAATGGATTAACTCCAACTATATTTTCCATAGTTGGTCCGAATCCCGACCGAGGGAGGAGGTTTGTTGTTAGTTAATAGACAATTTAAAACTTTGTCAAATATGTCATTTGACTTCTTCATTTCATTGAATCTAGAAGAATTAAGACGCCCTCCAAAATTCAATGGGATTGACGAGATATAGACATACCTTGAATATCCATCAAGTCAAAACAAAAGGTGAGATTGGATACTGATAAATCACTAGCCGAATTACAAGCTCAAAACTCTTCTCCTTTAAAATTGGCAGGTTCAAGCAATGTGAACCTTCTTTTTTCAGTGAGTTATAATCATGTTGATAATATTTTTTTGGATGATTTTGAGCCAACTATAACCAACCAGCAACGAAGATTTCGTGTCTTAAATGGGACATAAATTTCATTTACAAATCAAAGGGAATCCGCTACAACATATTTGGAAAATCTACAATTAACATCAGATTTAGCTACATCACCAACTAAAAATCTACAGAATCATGGAGAAAACAGGTATACTTGGTGTCTCTCATTCAAAAGTTGATTCAGAAGCTAATGTTCCTCCTTCAATGACAAAAAAAAA